CTTGTTTGCGCCTAGAGGCGGCGTGATGGGCAACACCAAATCCGGCACTGCACGATGGGGTGGCAGCGGTGGCAGCGGACGCGTGGCTCGGCGTGGTGAATTGATCAGACCGATCAACCGATTCTTTGACGATTGGAGACCATCTGAGACCGTCTTTGAACGTGCACGGCTCGACTGAGTGCTGTCTTTAACATGCTTCTCTGCCTGGTCTTGTGCCTCCCTGAACGTGACAGTGCCGGGTGGCGCAGTCGTGGGTGGTTCAGCCATATCTGGAGTTTTCCAATTCTTCTGGCCGTGAATGCGAGGGTCGAAGACAGCAGGAGCGGCCATATTTCGACCTGCCAGGCCTGCTCCATGCGCTCGGATCTCGGCCGCCGCCCACGCACCTGAAGGCGGAAGCTTGGACAGCTGCAAGCCAGGAGGCCTGCGTGCTTGGAGCCGCGTAACACCTTCAGAAGATTTGCTACGATCCACTGGTATTGCGATTCTAGGGCAAATTGGACCACTCGGAATGGTTGGTACGTTTGCGGGCTTCGGGCCGAAGGGGTTCAAAGCTGCGAATGGGTCCACAGCTTCGTCGTCTGTTGTTGAAACTGAGCCCGAAGTATCGTCCTCTTGGTGGTCGCTGATCTTCTCGATGTGAATGCTATCCTCCGACTCGCGCAGCCTTTGTACACGCTGGCGAGTCGTGTGAGGCGAGGCCATCAGGTAAGGCGTTGGTGGACCGCGCACAGATATTCTGCAAGGCTGCTGAGCTCGGGGAGATTCGTTCGGCAATGCGACCTGCGGCACGGAAGGAGACGATGACGCCGCGTCGGAGCGTCGCGTGTGCACGAGATCCGTGTTGAATCCTATCCCTTGGGACTTGCGACATTGGGTCGCTTGATGAGGAGATGCACTGCTCGTGTGGGGGATGACTTCTTCCTTCAGGCTGAATCGTGGCTCTTTCCAACTTGGTTGTGCGTAATGCGACCCTTCATAGCGAGCTTGTGACGTGGACTCGGAGCGCTCGCTCTGCACACCTGCGGACGGCACCGTTGTGTGGCGCGCGCTGGCTGCTTGACGGATGGCTCGAGCACGCGCGTGGACCTTTTCGATGCTGATGACTCGATTGTGTATCCTTGAGCCTCGCTTGTACTG